ATTCTTTAGATTAATGGATTTGGAGTAGTGTAGATCTACAGCTGGCTAGTCAGAGAAAAAAGGATGGCTGAGGAGAGACTTTGTAAATGAATTGATATCAGAGAGGTTCAGTTGTGTAGGCTCATCGCGGCAATATAATTAACCTGTCAACGAGGGATGCTTACTTTTTCTAGGCAACGGATCCCACCTCTTGAACTTTCTGGAGTCAGCTTTTCTTCTAAAATCGATCATTGATCATTCTGTATTTTGATACAGATACTGAATACTTCCTTTAGTAATATTATAAACTACTACTTCTACGGGAAGACTGACGAGTAAACAAGATTATCAAGCTTTATGAAATATATTTTATTGACTTTTCAAACAAGTAAATGTTCCAATAAAGTAAATGGTATATGAGAATCATTTGAAAGAAGTCTTGCACAATATGTCTAGATAAGGACATTTAAGGTGTTTTTTATCATATACTCTTCATGCAATACTGTTCTCAAATAAAACACGAAAAGGAAAGTTGTGTAATCAATCAATGCTAGTATTTAAAAATTCAAATGTACATCAAAAATCAGTGTAACTTAAGAAGTTATCAGTGTCACTTTCTTCAATATGTCGGTTAAACAATATACACTGATTTCTTTTCTATCAATGTGCCTCTAAACACCTGTATTTTAATTTTATTCTTCTCAAACGTTTAAAACAATAATCGACAAATTGGAGAAATTCAAATTTTAAAAGTATTTTCACAGCTAATAATACGTTCCCTAGGAATTGATCAAATTTTCAAAACTTATAAATAAGCATTAAGTATATATTTTAAATTTTTGCTAATTGCCAAAATTTTTCATACCTCATTCTTCTGTGAAAATAATATCGGTTGATTTTTAGAAGAGGATCACAATGCTGATTAAAATTAATATATATTTCTCCATTTTGTTTTTCAAAATTGATTTTACTACTTTAATTGCTCCATTATTTTTTACAAAACTAATAGTAAGTAATCCCTTATGATCGATTGTTATAAATTATCAAAGACGGAGTAGAGAATTTATCCCTGGGAGCAGAGCTTTTATAATCTGTTTATTAGACAGAGAAGAAAAGAGAAGAAAAACAAACGTTTCATAGTGGAGGTAACCCTATTGTTTCCATAAAACGTTACAAAAAGTGTAAAACTTACAGATGCGTTCGGTGTTTTTATAAAAGCGCTTTTCATGTATTAACTTAATAAATGGTGTTTCTTAATACTTTGGCAAGGAAAATCAAACTCGATCGAGAGATTTGCTGATGTTTTTGCAGTCTGTAATAACCTCCAACCTCCTGTATAATAAACCGTATCGTTCAACTTTCAAAAATAAACTAACAGTTGCCAGAAATCGCGATCGCGCGATACACATGTAATAAGGACCAAACTCTCAGTTCTTAAAAGTAAGTGTTGTAAGTATTGTCAATGCTTTGGTAAATATACTAATAAGAATTCGATATAATCGTAATAATAGCCACTCTTCATACACAGCATATACTTCGTTAGTACGAAGTGATATAGTAGGGGCTGGCTTTAGTCAGACTTCACAGCATATTGTCAATCTCTAACCAGGGGGCGTATTACGCCGACAGTATACAAATCATTTGCTGAAGTTACCGTTGTCGATAGGTAGCTCCTTGTGGAAGTTTCCGGTTTTGGTTGCAGAAGGATAAGGTTACGAGCGATAAAGCGATGCCGATAGGTAGCGCCTTATGGAGGTTTCCGGTTGCCGACACATGCCATATAGCGGCTAGCGAAGCTAACCGCTTAAAAATGAAATCATGTACATGTGCCGCTGTAGATTCGAACCCGCGACGTAAAGATGAACACCTCACTCCGCGAGTCGAAAAATGGTAAATTAGAGAATGAAGTAAATAAGGGAAAAAACTTATGTAATTGATTAATGCTGGAAAGCATGGCTATATTTAAAGGTTACATAAATTAGATTCAACTGCATATACAGCATATGCTTTGAGGAAGACAGCTGAAAATATGATAACTACAAGAAATTGGGAATCGTAACGGTTATGACTGACATGCAGAATATGTTTAATAGCTTTTTGGGTATGCCAGAGAATCAACGATTGTTGGAAAAGTGGGATAAATAAAGCCCTTAAATTTCCTGATTCTGCTTTCCCATCAAGAAGTAATTATTTCTAATCAAAAAATTTCCTTTTTGGGATCTTGCTTTTTTGTGATCTTATATTTTTACTTTGATAGAAAAAGGCAGCCACGTAGCATCAATTTTGAAAGGGGGCGGGGCAGCCAAAGTTGACCAGCAAAAAAAAAAGGAAAGTTGAAAGTTTCCCAAAGTCGACAATCCTTTTTCGGGGGGGGGGGGGGGGGGGGGCTTTTTTCAATACTAACTTCGGCCAGTACCAATTTTTTATACTACATTTTCCATAACATAGAAAGTTGGGGGCCAACCTATTCTCTTTAGAGGAGTGGACAGGCTTTCGCCTATATCGCCTACAACATGAAAGCCTGCGAAGAGAGGTGGATTTAGGCGAAAGCCTCTCCACTTCTCTACAGAGAAAAAGGGGCCAACCTACCTTTCAATGAACATTTCCTACAGTATAACTTAAATAAGGTTGGGGAAAAAGTGTGGGGGGGGGGCAAACCCCCCCCCCAAATTGTTGCTACGGGGGGGGGGGGGGTAATCACAGTTTTAAAACTGAAGGTTTCAAGTGGAAATTAAGGGGGAGCGCATGCATGCCTATTTGTCTTTGAAGAAACCAGACAAAATGTATAGAGTTATAGAAGACTAATTATCTATCCGTGTATTATCTTTAACCCGGAAGCGTATTAGTGCCACTTGCACACTTCACTTTTTTTTTAATTTGTACACTTTAATCTGTAAAATTTACACTTTAATCTGTAAAATTTACACTTTAATCTGTAAATTTTACACTTTAAAGTGTAAATTTTGCACTTTAATCTGTAAAATTTACACTTTAATCTGTAAATTTTACACTTTAATCTGTAAATTTTACACTTTAATCTGTAATATTTACACTTTAATCTGTAAAATTTACACTTTAATCTGTAAATTTTACACTTTAATCTGTAAATTTTATACTTTAATCTGTAAATTTTATACTTTAAAGTGTAAATTTTACACTTTAATCTGTAAATTTTACACTTTAATCTGTAAATTTTACACTTTAATCTGTAAAATTTACACTTTAATCTGTAAATTTTACACTTTAAAGTGTAAATTTTACACTTTAAAGTGTAAATTTTACACTTTAAAGTGTAAATTTTACACTTTAAAGTGTAAATTTTACACTTTATTTTAAACAACCTAAACTGTTATCAGTTATGATCAAACGGTCGATTTGTGATTTTTTACCTCTGAAACATGAAAAAAAGTATTAAACTGTAATGTTTACAATTGTATGCATATTTTTATTTTACATGTACTCGTACATGTTTATTAGTATATGAACAGTGTAATAAACAGTAAAAATAAATATCTCAAAGATTTTTTTATTTGCAGTTCAGATTGATATTACAAGTATATGGTTCTATGGTCATGATGAAATAATATATTAAAATTTCGGTCAGAAAATCAGAATTAAATATTATCTTGCAATATTAACGGTCCGTTGGCTTTAAAATGCGTTACTAAGGATGTATGAATATGCTTATTTGACTATGTGAATAAACAAATAAAGTGTAAAATTTACAGATTAAAGTGTAAAATTTACAGATTAAAGTGTAAAATTTACAGATTAAAGTGTAAATTTTACAGATTAAAGTGTAAAATTTACAGATTAAAGTGTTAATTTTACAGATTAAAGTGTAAATTTTACAGATTAAAGTGTAAATTTTACAGATTAAAGTGTAAATTTTACAGATTAAAGTGTAAATTTTACACTTTAAAGTGTAAAATTTAAATTTTACACTTTAAAGTGTAAAATTTACAGATTAAAGTGTAAAATTTACACTTTAAAGTGTAAAATTTACAGATTAAAGTGTAAATTTTACACTTTAAAGCGTAAAATTTACAGATTAAAGTGTAAAATTTACAGATTAAAGTGTAAAATTTACACTTTTAAGTGTAAAATTTACAGATTAAAGTGTAAAATTTTCAGATTAAAGTGTAAAATTTACACTTTAATGTGTAAAATTTACAGATTAAAGTGTAAAATTTACATTTTAAAGTGTAAAATTTACAGATTAAAGTGTAAATTTTACAGATTAAAGTGTAAAATTTACAGATTAAAGTGTAAAATTTACACTTTAAAGTGTAAAATTTACAGATTAAAGTGTAAAATTTACAGATTAAAGTGTAGAAATAAAAAAAAAAGTGAAGTGTCAAAGTGGCACTAATACGCTTCCGTATTAACCATTTAAATTTATTCACACTCACCTGATAATGTTATCACAGTAGATCGTGTAGCGTAAAAACTGGACTGTGTATCAATGATATAATCCTCAGATAAAAACTAGCTGATCAAATTAAAATTTAGTACACTTTGTACTTGCACTGAAGCTTACAGTTTGGTTACAATGATTTCAACACGTCATTTAAATTCATGTACTCGGTTTTTTTTTTCATTTGTCAGGCCTAATGAATACGCATACTGTTAATATATTTTGAAAACCAACTTTCGGTTCTACTTCTGAGAATGTCTACCATTGAAATCCCAAACAAACAAAAAAATAGTTAACAATAGAACGCTGTTTTCATGATTAAACCATAGAGGCAGGTGGGAGCTTTTTAAAGGGTGGAATAGAGAGAAAAAATGCCCCCCCCCCCCCAAAAAAAAAACAAAAAAAAAAACAAAAAAAAAAAAAAAAAACAAAACAAAATACGCGAACACACTTTTTAGGCCGGAATAGTGAAAGCATCCTGAAACTGACTAATATTGATTAAAACAAATGTCTTTCAACAGTTCAACTCGACATCCAGACTAATTACTTTTTCATCAATTAGATAATTGTTATTTACATTTATAATATTTAAATAATAAAATACCTTCTTGCTTGTTAGTACACCGGGGAATTAATGTCACAGTTGTTGCAGAAATAATATACTCGTACAAGTAACAGCTTTTCAAAAAGCTTGCCTGAGTAATGCCATCAATATTTATAGAACCTATAAGCACAGGCACCTGACGTTACTTATTTTTCTTTTAATAAAAAAAATATTCACATACCGAATAATAAACAAGGTACCCATCGAAACCCGCCATCTTGGATTTTCGAAGTAGGTCATCACTTGTATTTTCGTCTGAAACTCCGTCAAATAAATTCCCTGCAACCATATTCTTTCTGCAGCCAGTCTTTTGAGGTCTAAACTTACGGACACTGCAGCCAGGAAGGCGCATTACACTTGCAAATATTGAAAATCCCTCGTCAAACTCGACCTACTGCTTCAACATTCCGAGAAATCGCCAAAAGGGGGCCGGAAGTTTACATCAATATGCTAATGGGAATTCCGTATTTGTCAGTTTTGTGGTGGATCTAAAGCGGGGTGTCATAATTACTTTGAAATTTTAATGAATATTTCGATTATAGAAATGAAAAAAATGCAAAATGGGAAAAATAAAACACTTCTTATAAATATACCTGTAAAATATACTATATTAATCTATACAGGTCGTTGCGTTCGAAACAATTTTGAATAAAAGAGAGGGGGGGTGCTTAAAAAAAAATCAATAACAAATCATCTAGAGTTAATTGAATCGTTTTCAAAAAACAATAGACTGCAAACCATCCAGTTATATATATGTATACATATATACATGGCATATGCTTAATTGAAAAAGGAGAAGGATCACACTGAAAAAAGGATATGTAATGAAATCAAATATAAGCCTATGCGACATGTATATGTATAATCTGTCACCAAGAAAAAAATAAAAATGTCGCCATGTCACTACTTTATTGCAATACATAAAATTGCAGACTCAACATTCCCTGGGATAATTTTAGTGTGGACCCCCCCCCCCCCTCACACACGTGCGTACATACTTATAAAGTCAATCTTCTGCACGGATAGCGCTCAATCAGGGCATCAATAATGACAGCTAGTGTTATTAATTATATTTAGTGCATGTAAGTAGGGCCTTACAACCAACTCAATTTGTCTCGAAAATGTTCATTGATCAGCTAGCATGATCAGGCCGATCTTCGACATTTACAAAATATAATCGCTTTATTAATCAAGATATATCGAAATTATTTTGAGAGAAATAAAAAGAATGTTCTTACATGTATATTACGTTGTATTATTGTCTGAAATATTGTTTTTGGAATAAGTACTAACTTTCGCCGGTTATTTTTAAAAACAAATCGCACAAATATATTGACCAATCAAAAAAGGGCTTTCCCTAAGAATTTCAAGTCGTATGTAAACTTCCGGCCCCCTTTTGGCGATTTCTCGGAATGTGAAGCAGTAGGTCGAGTTTGACGAGGGATTTTCAGTATTTGCAAGTGTAATGCGCCTTCCTGGCTGCAGTGTCCGTAAGTTTAGACCTCAAAAGACTGGCTGCAGAAAGAATATGGTTGCAGGGAATTTATTTGACGGAGTTTCAGACGAAAATACAAGTGATGACCTACTTCGAAAATCCAAGATGGCGGGTTTCGATGGGTACCTTGTTTATTATTCGGTATGTGTATATTTTTTTTATTAAAAGAAAAATAAGTAACGTCAGGTGCCTGTGCCTATAAGCATGATAAATTTTAAACGTTTACATTGGGGGAGGGGGGATATTAAATTGTTTCACTATAGAGTAAATTTTGAAGATGTTACACAAAACAACGTGCATTCATTTTAAGTTGTATGATACTAATCAGAGCAATAGAAAAAGAATACATTTTATATAAATCGTATATATTGTTTGTATCTCAAATAAAAAATGAAATCATGTACATGTGCCGCTGTAGATTCGAACCCGAAAGATGAACACCTCACTCCGCGAGTCGAAAAATGGTAAATTAGAGAATGAAGTAAATAAGGGAAAAAACTTATGTAATTGATTAATGCTGGAAAGCATGGCTATATTTAAAGGTTACATAAATTAGATTCAACTGCATATACAGCATATGCTTTGAGGAAGACAGCTGAAAATATGATAACTACAAGAAATTGGGAATCGTAATGGTTATGACTGACATGCAGAATATGTTTAATAGCCTTTTGGGTATGCCAGAGGATCAAAGATTGTTGGAAAAGTGGGATAAATAAAGCCCTTAAATTTTCTGATTCTGCTTTCCCATCAAGAAGTTATTATTTCTAATCAAAAAATTTCCTTTTTGGGATCTTGCTTTTTTTGTGATCTTATATTTTACTTTGATAGAAAAAGGCAGCCACGTAGCATCGATTTTGAAAGGGGGCGGGGCAACCAAAGTTGACCAGCAAAAAAAAAAAGGAAAGTTGAAAGTTTCCCAAAGTCGACAATCCTTTTTCGGGGGGGGGGGGGGGGGGGGCTTTTTTCAATACTAACTTCGGCCAATACCAATTTTTTATACTACATTTTCCATAACATAGAAAGTTGGGGGCCAACCTATTCTCTTTAGAGGAGTGGACAGGCTTTCGCCTATATCGCCTACAACATGACAGCCTGCGAAGAGAGGTGGATTTAGGCGAAAGCCTCTCCACTTCTCTACAGAGAATAGGGGCCAACCTACCTTTCAATGAACATTTCCTACAGTATAACTTAAGTAAGGTTGGGGAAAAAGTGGGGGGGGGGCAACCCAACCCCCCCCCAACCGTTGCTACGTGCCTGGAAGTTATGTCTCAATATTTCCTGTTCGTTTTATTTCCTATTTCAGCGAGCACACGAGTACGCTTCCCAGAGTGAAATCCGGATAAATTTAAAGTGATCGAGAACACTTTGGGTGTATGCACGCCAAAATGGCCGAAAACTGAGACAATTCCCGGGTTACTTCGAATAAACCATACATTTGTCATGTTCTGCAACACGTGATTGTTGCATAAAGTACTGATAATGATGAAAACAGCCATGGAGAGGATAGGGATCGTAGGCGCGGGAATGACGGGCGCTACCCTTGCCTCCCTCCTGAGAACGGAGTGCGCTGAGAGCAAGTTGTTGATCCTGGACAAGGGCAGGGGTGTCGGTAAATCATTTGTATATTTGCAGGGACCTGTGTATTTCTGCATATTGGTCCTGGATAATATTTGTTATCTAGGTTCAATCAATTGGGTACGGGGATTTACCCCTGGTTTTATTCCATACACCCGAAGGCCGAATTCTCTGTTAGTATCCAAGTTAACTGTGTTTCAGTCTTTTGTTAACGTAAGTACGAACTAGTACAATGCATCGTGATGTCATGTTATTTGGTTTTTATCAGAGAGAAAGTATGCATTGTGATGTCACGTTTTATTAACCCCCGAGCTCAAGTCCGGTGCTTACAAATTAACATCCAACTCTGTAACCAATCTAAGCTTGTGTTACAAGCTACATGGGAAAATGTAGTATTTGATAGCGTTTATTTGTGTGATTGTAAATGATAAATAAATCGTCAATATGTCATATATTTCTTAAAAAGTTAAGCACCATATTTAATAATACAGTCATACTGATCATGAGACGACAAAATTTAGACCAAGAAATGATATTTATGGCACGCCAAATTCACAAAAATGAGCTAATCATAGTTTCACAATCTATAAACTAGGTTTATCGGTTGTAAACTATAATTTACGGACTGTAAACTATAGTTAACAATGTTAATCTATATTTTACATCTGTAAACCATAGTTAACGTGATAATCTGTGTTTCACAACCGTAAACTATACTTAACACTGAAAACTATCATTTGCGATTGCAAAACATAGATTATCTGATAAATACAGTTTCACGATTTGTAAACTATGGTTTACAACTCTTAACTATTGTTAATGATCGTAAACTATAGTTTACAGACGTGAATCTATGTTTATCAACAAAATCTATTGTTAACGTTTTATTACAGACGGATAAACTTAGATTAGCATTCGTAAAGTATGGTTAACAACCGTAAAATATAGTTTTACAGATGAAAACTACACTTAACGGATTGTTAACTAAAGTTTATGATTTGTAAACTTTAGTTTACAGTTGATAAACCTACCGGTAGTTTATCAATTGTGAAACTAGGTTTAGCTGATTTTTGTGAATTTGGCGTGCCATAGATATTACTTTGTAAATTATCAATTTTGCATGGTAGTTAATGCAAAATTGTTAATTAACAATGTAATCATTTTTTGCCAAAGTTTTGTCCTATTCATCCTCAGTGTGACTGTATCAAGAAATTTGATGCTCATCCTGTTGCACCGTTCCTGCATTTAGCCAAAAAATGCAAGTAAAGCAAACAGTAGGTAAAAATAGTACTTTGGATAGGTTTAATTACCTAAGTAGCTATAAGTAGCTGTGTAGGTATAAATAGTCTGTTAAATATGCATCATATGTATATTTCATTTAGGTGGGCGAATGTCCACTAGCCGAAGCGTGAAAGCCAACAGTTTTACAGTGGATTTGGGAGCTCAGTACATATCAATCACAGAGGCGTACAAAGACAAGCACCACAGGTAAGCAGTGGACGACAACAACGATAAAAAAGACAATGTTTCCACTGATAGTTTAAGCTGAATGTGTGAAGCTACATATCATCTTTTGTTTGAATGATCCTAAATCAGTAGATGTTAATTATATTCTGTGTCATTCTAGTCCAGTCAATATAAATTTGACCTCAAACTAATTGCAACAGAATTTTTCTCATGGTAGTGTTTCTTCTTGTAGCATAATATAACTCTATAAAAAAATCGGACGAGTAGTTTTCATAGAAGTCGACTTCAAAAATAAAGAAATATGACTTCCACTTTATATCTGGTATGCCGCACCATACTACTCGCTGTTGACGTCATTTTTAACTAAAGTCGTCATTCATAAGAATTATTTCGCCAAAAGTTCGAAGAGTAATAGTTTTTGACAAGTTTCCTACATAATATTACTAATTATTGAATACGGAAAAAACGAAAATAAGCCAGGATATCATTTTATACTTTTTGTTCACAGGCGCTTGACGTTTTTAACCTATCTCTTTATAAATAAAAATTTTCCCTACTATAATGATAAACAAGGTCGGACACGTAGCCATCTTGGATTTTTTTCAGGTCAGCTACCTCACCTTGAGTTTTAGTCTACAATATGTTTAAAATAAACAGATACAACCCTTTCCCTGGAGTACTTACCTTAACTATGCCTCCACTTTCGGGCAATCCAACTCAAACCACATTAAACCCTCTCTAATCTTTAAAATATCGCTTCATACTCAGTCTACTGCTACCGACTCGGTAAAAACTTAGAAAAGGGAGGCCGGAAGTTGATGTTATTATGTAAATGAGAATTCCCTCTACTTAAATTTGATTGATTACTAAGATATTTATATGATACATACCGGTAAAACTGTTCAAGCTCCATTATTTTGTGTGTATTTTATTTTTCATGCTATAGATTTACATGATGCAAACAGTTTGTTTTCTATTTCAAATGTTACCGCAATTTTTATATTCATAACTCTTAAGATATCAACCAATCAGAAAAGGGCTTTCCCGGATTATGAATCATTTTGTAGCAAGAGAATGCTTTCAGTAATACTTTTTAGTACTGTAAAGTACTTCTACACAACAGAATTTTCTCCAAATTGTATTCCGAATTGTCAAATGTAAAATAATTAAATCAATAAAATTTTTATTTTACATTAAATAGACTTGAAATTTATTAAAATAAAGATTCTGAAACTTTCAGTCAAGAAAAACCACATTTAAAAAAGACGTTTCACACCTATATACATAGAGTTTATGTATATAGGTGTGGCAAAAACATTACAATGACTCGTTACTTTTTCAACTTTTTTCCCCAGGGAAAACTTTCATAGAATAATCTTGTTATTAATTTTATAGATAAAAAACAATTTATAGAGTAAAAATGAACTCAATTATGCATAAAATTTATTAGAATTTACCAAATACCGCCCGGTAAACCTAGAGATCTCTCGGGTTCTCTGTTTAGTAGGACCGACTTGATCAGTACCCGCCATTTTGTTTGACGTCATTAAAAAAGTTACCATCGCTAACAGAGCTCTAGTTCGTCTGCAGAAAAATCTACCTATGGTAAATTTTTTCGGCAAACTTTGGTACCATTGGCTTACCATTGGTTAAAAATTCTACCAGTAGTAACTTTTGTCAGCCAACGGTAGTACTCTGAACGCACCCATAGCCTTCAGAGCACAGGCGCTTGACGTTTTTAACCTTTCTCATTATGAATAAAAAATTCCCTTCTACAATTATATTTTAGTAGGGATTTTTTTATTTATAATGAGAAAGGTACTAACGCCTTGCTTCAGAGGCATAAAAAGGGTGCGTCGATTTACCCAAATGGACCCAAATGGAAACAAATGGACCCAAATGGAACCCAAATGGACCCAAATGGAAACTCAAATGGACCCAAATGGAAATCAAATGGGCCCAAATGGAATATAAAACATATATATATTATTGTATTCTCAAATGTTAACTTATATTAAAAAAAAATTATTTATTGCAAATAATGAAACTTAATAAAAGGAGAACATTTAAATAATTGTTATTTTCTTATATTTAAAAAAAAATACGATTTTTTTCCATTTGCAATAAAGTTTTGCACATAACTGAATACAAAACTGAAGTAAATAGTGTCCATGTCCGTAAGTACTGAGTGGAGAGGGGGGACTGAGAGGCCAATCCCCCCCCCCCCCCCCCCCCCCCCCCCCCGATTTTGCCGATACATATAAAATGATATTTAAAAAGATTCATTCTCATGTCTCAAAATACAATGTTAGAAATTAATTATTAATTTAAAACTCAATTTTAACTGTAAGATCATCTATTTTTATCATTTAAAATAAGTAATAAAATACGATAATACGTATTTAATATTCCATTTGATTTCCATTTGGGTCCATTTGATTTCCATTTGGGTCCATTTGTGTTTCCATTTGTGTCCATTTGTTTCCATTTGGGTCCATTTGGGTAAATCGACGTGCCGCATTAAAAGGACGACTAAGTGATTCGGGGGAAGGGGGGGGGGGGGGACAAACTCTTTCGAGTCGGATTATTTATTTTCATGTCGATGTAGGAGAATATTTATTTCCAAACATCACATTAAAGTCAACAACAGTACTCTTATTCGTGGCGGTAGGGGGTTAAAGACAGATTATTCATTCCCTGTCCAATCGATGTCATATTGTTGTAAAGAATGAACTTTCGTACGACTTACTTAAGGACTTTCCCGATTCAAAAATTAGATCAACAGAGACTCTCTTCCCGCCAGCCCGTGCAGAACTTTGCCTACTGTATCTTTGTATATTTGTACTTGTATTGTTTACCTGTGCTTACAGAATATATTCTAAAGTAAGTAAAGGTGTATTTTTTCTATATTGGCGTCGCCGGTAACAGAACTAAACGCTCGTTGACTGATAACTTGTGAGTTAGTTCAAATTTCGTGCGTAGTCACTGTAGAATTTTGAGCAGGTTTCACGATTTAATATTGTGAAAATTGCTTGTTACTTCAGAGGTTCTACAACAGCTGAAAACGAAATAAGCGGTATATTTTGAATTAATTTGCATTGTTTACATTTTTCACACGATAAACTTGCACTCGTGAAAAATTATAGTCGACAATTTGTCATTGTTATTTATGGCAATAACATATTGTTGATTAATTGAGAAAGTGTATGTGCTAGGACTTTCAGGAATCCCCGGAAAGTATTATTTTTGAATTGTGTGGAAATTAGTGTATTCAAAATGGCAACTGGCAATGAAAATGGTGAGAAAACAACAAAGGTTAAAATCAACTATGCAAATGTAGAAGAATTGAAAACATTACCATCTGTGGGTGAAGCAACAGCTCAAAACATTGTGTATTTCAGAGCTGTTAATGGTAACATCACACCTGAAAATTTGGTCACCATTAAATTTGTAAAAGAGAGCAAAGAATTGTCACAAATGATAGATTTTGAACCGAATTCAAGTTTGGTAAAAAGTGATGATGGTGATGTCGAGAATGAAACAATTGAAACTGAGTCCTCACCAGTTCATCAACCAGAACAAACAAAACAAATTATTGACAATGTTGAAAACTTACTGAATGCAAAAAATGAAATAGCAAATGAAAAATTAGGTGTTAAGAAAGACATTCAGCCTGTACCTGGGGTAAAATTAGAAACACTTGACCTTGAACAAGCCCAGCTCATTGGTCTTCAAGTTGATAAATCAAAGGGAGCTGTCCTGAAAAACAAAGGTAAGCCTGTGTCAAGTCAACCAACTACTGGTCACCTTGTAACAAGCCAACCTGATACATTTAATTTACCTGTGTTAAGTCAACTTTCATCAGGTCATGGTCAGTCAATAGTAGGTCAACCTTCATTAGGTCAGCCTATCCCAGCTCAAGGTATGCAAGGCTTGTCTATGTCACAGCAGCCTATGCAAGGTCAATCAATATATAGTCAAACTATGTCATGTCAACCAATGTCAACTCAAATAGGTCAGCCTATCCCAGCTCAAGGTATGCAAGGCTTGTCTATGTCACAGCAGCCTATGCAAGGTCAATCAATATACAGTCAAACTATGTCGTGTCAACCAATGCCAACTCAAATGACACCTGGTCAACCTATATTTGCACAACCAATGTCGACCCACTCAGTGCAAGGTCAACCATTACATGGTGAACCTATCAGTACCCAAACAATGTCCACCACCTCAGCACAAGGTCAACCTTTATTAGGTCAACCTATGCAGAATACATATGCAGACAAGAACATGCAAGGTCACATGTACATGCAGGGTCAGCCTATTCCAAGTCACCCTGTTCAAGGATCTTTATGGTCGGGTCAACCAACATTGATTCAATCCAGTCAAGGTGGGATTATGCCATATCAGTATACCGTACCCATGGCAACTCCACAAGGTATGTTTCCATCTCAGTACCCTAATGTACCATATCAGGCAATGAACCAGCAGTATTCTCCATCTATGCCTCTAGTGTCACAAGTATATGCTAACCAATGGATGCCATTTGGTGGGATGCCGTTTTCGGTGCCCCCACCAAGCATTCCACAAGTAAGTCAGTTTCAAGGTTATGGTTACCCATGGCAACAAAATCCAGGTAATCAAATGCAACCAAACCTTGGGAGCATGGTACAACAAAATCCAGGTAATCAAATGCAACCAAACCTTGGGATCATGGTACAACAAAATCCGGGTAATCAAGGGCAACAATACTGTGGTAATATGGTGCAACAGACTCAAGAAAATAATCAGCAGCCTCCAACAGGTAATCAGTTATTGCAAACGCAACCTCAAATAAATAATCAACAACCTATCAATCAAGGTCAACAACTGGCGGTAAACCAACCTGCTCCGATAGTAAATCAACCTGTGGCACCCCAGAGAAACAGAGGAGGACAGAATCGTCAGGTAGATGATAACCCTCCCAAGGGACTGAAGTATGATGGAAAAGATAATTGGTTAGGATTTAAGCACAAATTCATGAGATATTACCAAGTAAAGAACTGGACACCAGAAATCGCAAAGGATTATTTGTGTTGGTGCCTCGAAGGTAAAGCTAGTGAATTTTATGCTTCGATTGTAGCCAGAAATCAAGCTATTGGTTTTCCAGAAATCCTTAACAAGTTGGAGAAAAGGTTTGGTGGAGTACCATTACCAGACACAGCACAAGTACAATTAGCAAACTCTAAACAGAAGCCTGAGGAATCTATAGAGGACTGGGCAGACAGAGTCATGCGATTGTCTATACGTGCATTCCCTGAGTTACCAGAAGAGTACATGTACCAACAAGCTGTGAAAAGAATTTGTCATGGATGTGTTGATAAGGAAGCAGGTCAGTATGTCGTGAATCTAAATTTAGATTCCGTAGAACAAGTTATAGATAAAATCAAAAGCTTCCAGTTCAATCATCAGAGCATCTATGACAAGCCTAAAAAAGAGGTACGTGAGATATACATTTCTTCAGACCATGCAAGTTCAAGTGAAGATGAGATGTCTACTGTCAAAGTAAGAAGATCAAAACAACTAAAGCCTTCTAGTAATGAAGAAAAACAGAAAGTGGATACCCAGCTGAACGAACTCTCAAAGCACATGGGTGATATCAAAGATGGCATTTTCTCATTAATCCGTCATCTAGAGAAAATACAACCACAGTCGACAAACATCTCATCAAAGAAACCAGCGAGAAGTAGATCCCCATCACCCAATAATGGTAGATGTTTCCACTGCAATGGTCTAGGACACTTTGCGAAAGACTGTCCACAGAAGAATACAGAAAACAAACCTGCTAAGCATGTATCCTTTTCGTCAACTTTAAACGAGAAGGGATCAGGCCAGTAGGCCTTAACCTGGTCCATAGGGATGACGGCCTGCAGTACACAGAAACACCCTTAATCATTCGACAGCTGAAATCAAAGTCATCAATTATGATTCCCGTAACGATACATGGAATTGCTGTTGAAGGAATTATAGATACAGCTTCAGAAGTTACCATCATATCTGACAAGGTATACAATTCATTACCAGATAGACCAGGCGTGGTGAAGAATATTACCTTGCATGCTGCAGGAAGAGATATGTCCATGGAAGGATATTTGATTGAACCTACAACTGTAGAAATGAAAGGACTTCAATTCAATGAAAGCGTATATGTTGCTCCTATTGAGGATGCCATGCTTATTGGATTGGATTTCATGTCGAAGTACCAAGTTGAAATTGACATGAAACAGAGTTTATTTTGTGTACAAGATCAAAGAATTCCTTTTATTGAAAACAAGGGTAACTCTGTCCAAGCTATTACTCAGGTAAGAATTGCAAGACGTACTGTAATTCCACCAAGGTCTGTCTTAAGAATACAATGTAGTACAGATCATCCCTTAGAATCAGCTTGCTATCTTGTAGAACCTGACGTCAAATTATTACTTGCTCCTCGTGTATGTATCGTGGGTGCAAGTGTTCCTATGATGTCATTTGTCAACTTGTCTGATAGTAAAATAACGCTGTTTAGGAATCAGAAGGTTGGTATGGTTTATGAGATAGATGAGATATTTCCAGTTGGAGTGAGTGACCAGAAAGATACTTTTCAAACAGCACAGATAAAAACTACAGAAAATAAAGAACTCCCGGAATACCTAGAAGGCATGTATCAAAGTTCCTGTTCAGAGTTGAATGAAATGCAGCAACGTGAATTGAAAAAGTTATTGATACAGTTTGCTGATGTTTTTTCTGCTCACGAATTTGACTTAGGCAATTTTACAGCTATTGAACATGCTATTGATACAGGGGATGCAAACCCAATTAAACAGAAGTTCCGAAGGACACCTACTTCCTTTGAAGGAGAAGAAGAGAAACATCTAGAGAAGATGCTGAAAGCTGATGTAATAGAACCGTCTATGTCAGAATGGGCGTCTTCTCCTGTGCTGGTGCGAAAAAGAGATGGTAGTGTGAGATGGTGTGTGGATTACAGGGCACTAAACAAAGTGACAAAAAAAGATGTCTTTCCTCTGCCTCTCATTGAAGAATGCATTGATACCTTAACAGGCAACATGTGGTTTTCAAAACTGGATGCCACTTGGGGCTATTGGCAAATTAAGGTAAAAGATGATGACAAATGCAAAACAGCATTCACTACCAAATATGGATTATTTCAGTTTAAACGCATGAGTTTTGGGTTAACAAATGCGCCAAGTACCTTTTCAAGAGTAATGAATTTAGTTCTAAGAGGGTTAAATTGGAAAATAGTTCTGGCCTTTCTGGACGATGTATTGGTTTTAGGGAAAAGCTTCCAAGATCACTTACAAAATTTAGCTGAAGTGCTCCAAAGGTTTAGAGAATATGGAATCAAATTAAAGGCGAAGAAGTGCGACCTGTTTAGGACAGAAGTGGAGTATCTTGGCCGAACTGTAGGACGAGATGGTATGAAAATAAGCACGCATTTTCTAAATACCATGGAAAAATGGCAAGTTCCTAAGTGTACAAAAGATGTAGAGCGTTTTTGCGGATTTGCCAACTATCATAGGAATTTTATTAAAGACTTTGCAGAAATTTCTAGACCACTATACAGTCTTACAGGAAAAAACAAGTTTCATTGGAATCCAGAGCATCAGGATGCCTTTGAGATGTTAAAATCAGCTCTCTGTAGTGCTCCTGTACTTACCATACCAACGAAAAATGGCAGATTCATTTTAGATACTGATGCTTCTGAATTTGCAATTGGGGCTGAGTTACTTCAAATACAGAATGGTGAAGAAAGATGCATATCATATTGTAGTTTTTCATTAACACCAGAGCAGCGTAGATATTGTACCACAAGAAAAGAACTTCTAGCAGTTGTGCGATTTACCAGACATTTCCGGCATTATCTACTGGGACGCAATTTTGACCTGCGTACTGACCATAGCAGCCTCCAATGGCTAATGAACTTTAAGAATCCTATGGGGCAGCTGGCCAGATGGTTAGAAGAATTAAGTCAGTACTGGATGGTTATACATCATCGTCCTGGGAGTAAACACCATACTGCTGATTTCTTGTCCCGGCTACAGGACTTGGACACTTGTCATGAATACAGGCATGCTGTAAAACTAGAGGAACTACCATGTGGAGGATGTTCTTATTGCAGGAAGAAACATCAAGAATGGGGCAAGTTTATTGATTCTGTCGATAATGCTGTTCCATTAGCGAATACGTCAATAAAAGTACAACAGGTCAAAGCAATGCCTACTCTCGCATGTTGGTTAAATGGATATACTTGGAGAGAGGTTGGTGAAGCGCAGCATAAGGATAAGGACCTCAAGTTAATTCTCAATTGGCTTGCAAAACAAGAAGTGCCTAACGAAGACGAGCTTTTCCTCAGTAGCCCAGCCACAAAACATTATTGGACTAACAAAGAATTGTTCTTCTTAAGTAAAGAGGATATTTTGTGGAAAAGAGATGAGAATACTGGAGCCAAACTTTTAGTGGTACCCATAGCCTTAAAAGAGGAAATATTGAGTTTATCTCATGATTTACCTTCATCTGGACATCAAGGCCAAGATAGAACCTATAACAGATGTAAACAAAGGTTTTACTGGTACAATATGTTAACAGATGTTAGAAAGTTTGTTGTATCTTGTTCTACCTGTAGTAGAAACAAGAAACCGAACAGGAAAGCTAGGTGGAAATTGACATCATACCATGCTAGTGCACCAATGGAACGTGTACACTTAGATTTTATGGGACCATTTCCGCTTACTTCTAAGCAGAATGTTTACATATTGATGATGGTGGACCAGTTTACGAAATGGGTAGAATGTGTGCCATTACCAAATCAATCAGCTGAGGAAACGGCAAGGGCAGCAATCAACCACTTTTTCTGTCGTTTTGGATTCCCTTACCAAATTTTTACAGATAGAGGTTCTAACTTTGAGAGTACTCTGTTCAAACAACTTTGTGACAGATTACAGATTTTTAAGGCAAGAACAACAGCTTTTAGACCTTCTGCAAATGGGCAAGTAGAGCGTTTTAATAGAACCCTCATGGATGCTCTGAGATGTTTTACAAGTAGATCTCCAACACAGTGGGATGAGTACTTGCCACAACTGGCTAGTGCCATAAGATCCTCTGTCAATCGAAGTACAGGGTTTACGCCAAATATGTTGATGCTTGGACGAGAAGTTAATAGCCCATTGGATTTGATTTTTCCGGGTCCAGAACCAAGTGACGCAGAAGATTACGAGCAATATGTCACAAATCTAGTGCAGAATATACAAGCCGCTCATGAATTGGCTCGTGAAAAGTTGCGAAGTAGTCAAGCTATTGCTAAGCGTGACTATGATCTGAAAACTTTTACACGGTCATATTCTGTTGGTGATGCTGTATATATCTTGGACACATCAACACCGAAAGGTAAATGCTCAAAGTTAAGACCCAAATGGAAGGGGCCAGGGTTGGTAGTCAAGAAAATTACAGATTACTTGTATAAGGTAATGTTGCGTAAAAAATTAGAGACAATCAACCATGACAGAATGAAATTGTGCCAAGATAAAAAGTTGCCAGTCTGGTTACAGAAACAGGTTGAGACATTAAAAATGAGTTCTACTGATGTTAGGTGCTCGACAGAGATGACAGGTAAGAAAAGTCTGTTCTGTCTATGCCGTGGCCCTGACAATGGAGACTTTATGATACAATGTGAAGAGTGTAAAGAATGGTATCATGGGTCTTGTGTAAATGTTACCCCAGGACAAGCCGAACAAATTGATGTTTATCTTTGTCCTGATTGTATATAATATGTAAATTATGTTTTTATTTTAGCCATGTCTGACAGAGAAGAGACAAAGAGGGCCTGGAAAGAAGCAGGAAACTCAAGACAGCGACCTAAGGCCAATAAGTTTGAAGCTCTTAGAAAGCCAGGCGAGAGTGTAATGGACTGTGTCCGCCGCCTTAGTGATAACCACATCATGGTGGAGCCTAAAAGTTTATACATGAATCTAGTTACACAGAGTAATGATGACTTGAAGAAAGGATCCGTCCTCCAATACAAGGTTGCCAAGACATTGGGGTTCAAACACTGGATTCATGAGATGAGGTTAAACTGCCAATGCGATTTGCCGGACTCATGGATTGAGGAAAACTTACCCTCCTTAACCCGACAGAAGCTGGTGAAACCTCATCGGTCAACCAAACCATCTGATGCTGCCGTAACTTCGCGCGACATCAGATTGACTACTGATCCATCTCTGCAAGTTGTCCGGATGAACGCTGTTGATGACTCAGTGCTGGATTTAAGCGAGCCTGTTCCTGGGACGTCAGAAGGTAGTGGGGAGACAACCTCAAAGAAGGAAAAAGAACAGGAAACAAAAGTAAAGTCTACCACCAAGCCAAAGCCCACGTCCAAAGAACCAAAAACCTTGGAGGAATCCTACAGCAAAGAGTCAACATCAGTTGTTAAATCAAGACCTGCATCTGTTGTAAAGTTGCCATCCTTGAAAACAACATATACACAGTCAACAGAGAGGAAAATAGGAGTTTCTTCAAATAAGCGATCCTTGACCATAACTGTTGACAGTCCAAGGACAAAGGCAACTTTACAGGAGACAACAGAATATTGTATACTGTCATCATGTGGATCCATGGACAAGAGAGCAAGGAGACATGCCCTAGCAAAGCACCTGCCAGCTGTGTTCAAGGACGCGACTGGTGTGGAGCATTTGCCTGGTGCTGTCCAAGCACTAAGATGGTTGGTTCATATGGCCTATGGACAAGATGCCTCACTATGGGATGCTGTACACATGGTGAATCAGTCGGGTTTAATTCCGGAGTCTGCCAACCTAAATCCCTTGCATCATAAATTATTTATAGAAGCATGCAAGCTGTTGCAGATTTCAGAGCCCAGTCATTTCACCTTGCGACCCATCAACTCTCCTGCTGTGTTGCTGTTCTGGAGGTGTATCATGATGATTCTGAATAACTGTAGTCCTGATCAACAGCAGCAGTTTTACCATTTTCAGCCTTCAGAAGACCCCAGCAAGGACGATAAGATGGTAGAGGAAGCGTCGGATTCTGAACTGCCGTCAGACTTGGAGGAATTTATCCTGGTAGATGAGGCTGATTCAGACCAAGACGAATCTACAGTACTGGCCAACACATCATTGCCTCAGGTATTTGATGCCCATTTCCACCTAGACCGTTCACTTAGGGCAGTCTGGGGGAGGTCTGGAGGACGTACTGTAGAGGAATTACTGCAATACAGCTTCTCCAATGATGTTTCCTATAAGCCAGCCATCAAAGTAGACGTAGTTGGGGGAATTATTGTATATAGTGAACCCAAGTCCTATCCAGAGGTAAACTTCACCTTACAAGGTCCCTGGAAAGTGGCTATTGGAGTTCATCCCAAGCATTATGATACCCTCACCGTCGAAAAAACGATGAAGATGCAACAACTCCTAGATCATCCTAAAGTAGTGGCATTGGGGGAATGCGGCCTGGACAGAACCATTGCTCCTTCCCAGTGGTGTAGACAAGAAGAAGTGTTTGTTAGGCTTCTGAAGTTATCAAAAGTCGAGCAGCCCCTTGTTCTCCACCTCAGAGGACCAAGAGGAGACACTTATTCCTCAGATGTTCATGGCCGTTGCCTCATGTTAATGGAGGATATCTGTGACCCAGAACAGAAAATCCATGTACACTGCTTCATGGGAAGAGCTGACGTGGTGAGGACTTGGCTGCGGAAATTTCCAAACACATACTTTGGAGTGACAGCTGCCGTCCGAGCCTTTGACCGTGAACAGCTGGAAGGGTTACAGGCTATCCCTCATAATAAGCTGCTCCTGGAGACCGATGCGCCCTACTTTCCTTTAGGAGGTGCCATCGTGAGTACTCCAGCTTATTTGGGAGAAGTAGCAGCTTATTTATCCGTCCATTTGAACATGCGCCCCCCAGAGCTGATGAGAACAACCGTCATGAATGCACGGAAGCTCTACGGATGTTAAAACAGAGAAGACTGGTGACCAAGTGCATGCCGCTTTATTAGTGTGCTGAAGATATCTAATGTTTATTTTAAAGATGCCTTCATGCCGCTATAAAGTGTGCTGACAGTGATACATTCAGTCTCCATTGCATCAAATTCCTCGAACAGCTCCAGATGTGATGATGTCTTTTGTGTTCTACTTTATCATCGCTGGATGTTATTATGTGTTCCATATTCTGCTTCATCGGTGCTGGATGTGATACGCTATTTTATATTCTTATATGGCCATGTTAACAGTAATTCAGTTTTTGTTGTTTGTATAATTGTTTTAAAAATTTTTGGCCATTATAGTATCCAATAGGTTTTGTTATAAAGTAATATTTTGTATATTAAATTAATATTGAAAATTTAAATAACTCAAATACAGAACATTCCAATTGGAACGGGGAGGAGTGTTGTAAAGAATTACCTAACGTACGACTTACTTAAGGACTTTCCCGATTCTAAAATTAGATCAATAGAGACTCTTTTCCCGCCAGCCCGTGCAGAACTTTGCCTACTGTATCTTTGTATATTTGTACTTGTATTGTTTACCTGTGCTTACAGAATATATTCTAAAGTAAGTAAAGGTGTATTTTTTCTATACAACTTATTAATAGCATCCCATTTATAGTGTTTGTACCTTAGCTAGGTTTAGCACAATGTAAAAAAAGTATTTATAACTGTATAATGTCCATTTCTTACCTGTTGTAGGCTATACATCTAATGCCTTACTTCATGCATTCAGTCTGTTTAATTATATGTACAAAAAACATTGCATGGTCAGCACCGTAAATTGTAAACAAACACGATTTACACGCACGCGCAGTACTTGTATTAGATCCAGTACTCTTACCTGTTCCGTGTATTTAGTACGGACCATTTAGTACAGCATGCGGGAAGGCCAAAAACGAGGACATTGATTTACATTTATGGTGGTGTCGCTGGATTGCGAAAAGAGAGTGAGGTGGGGAATGGTCACATTCCTTTGTTTGCTTTTCAACAAGAAGTAACATGCATATGAGCATATCGAAAGGCCTATGATTTGCACAGTGCAAAGTTAATAATCTGTTTCCACCCCCCTTGAATTTTGACCCCTTTCCCCATCAATCTAATTAATAGATTGTTTCCCCATTTGATCTTTGTAAATTCTGAAGTAAATAATTAATATAGCAATGTATGTTACATGCCGTCTGCAAGCTTATGTTTGGGCAATATTTATATGCCAAGTACGCTAAATGTAATCGTTGATTAATTACTGACGAAATCTTTTGCAGCTTTACACTGTAAACTGTATCTCCGGAATGATGGGAGGGGATGTAAGGTAATGCTTGCATGATTTCCATTTTTCTTTATTTAACTATTTTTGAAAGTAGAGTAATAGCAAGTAAATTATTTGTCATCTATAGCTACGAATTTGAATATACTAAATATAATGATTCAAATAAAAAATCTTAATTAATAATTTTTTTTTGTGTCGCACGTGTTTTTAAAGACTTTAAACTTAATAAATATATTAACGACTCCTTTACTGACATTAAAACTTTATGACTAGCCCTCTGCCTGGATGGTAAGAATTATGAATTATTCTGAATTTCATTGGTCAGGGAGCGGACATTTCAATTTTTTTTTTTTTTTTTTTTTTTTTTTTTTTTTTTTTTTGTAAATTTCATATTTCATGCATTATGCATTGGTTCTCCCCGAATTGTGAAAGCCATGTTTCTTAATTGTAATACAATGTAATTAATAAAAAAAAAAATAAAATTTTTAAAAATATGAGAAGAGAAAAAAAATCAAGTAGAAACGGATTTTTCAGTAAGGACTATTCATTGACCTTATCTATTACATTAAATGACATTGCATTGAACTTTTACTCAATGAAACAAATTGAGATAATTTTAACGAAGAGTATTCAACATCAAAAGTCCACAAAACAATACAAAATAGGAGTAAAGCAAACACGGACTTCCAAAACATCAGAGCTGGGATCAGGTGCCATGAAATATTAATGCAGAGCGATCAATACAATATTATACGATTGTTTATTAGGAAGTTATAGCAAACAGTAGTGTATAAAACCATGAAAAATGGTCAATGTCTTAAAATTGCCGTCACATTCACTATATCTAAAGCAAGAGCAGATTTTTTTTTTTAATTTATAAAAGTATTTTTCGTAACATGGTACTTGTACATGCAAAAAATTCCTAGAATTAAAATAAACTTTACTTTTAGTCTCTCTATTTTCTGTTCTTTGCGACAAGATTGGGTCTAGTATAAGGATATGTAAGAAAAAAAAAGATGCATGAATTGATTGGTATTTTTGACTGCATGGTTTTGAAATGAAAATAATAAATAATTTATCCTAAAAATATAAAGAAATCGTTTTCGTTTTCTTTGATGCTAAGATTTACATTATTATACCCCCGTATATTCCTCTAAAAACAAATGTCCAAATTTTTTTTTCTCAATGACCGTGTAGTGTAGGGCAGCGTTGTGAGAATTCCATCGGCATCGAAAGCAAGTTTTTGAAACTTGCCTAGATAGCCGAGCGGTCTAACGCGCTGTTCCTGCACTGCTAGGAGACAGATTCCGTAGGTCGAGAGTTCCCCCGGGCTGGGGCGGAAGTGAGTATCCTTATAAAAGTGAATTTCTCTGTGCTTTCTATATTAATATTTCTTCACTTAGGGCAGTTATATTAGTTTAAGAGTTGTTGTAAATTGTGCTTTATAAATAAAATTAATTTCATCACAACATGTATTGGTATATATATATATATATATATATATATATATATATATATATATATATATATATATATATATATATATATATATATATATATATAGTAATCAGTATGTCCGTCCGTACGTCTAGCTGTACATCCGTCTGTCTGTCTGTTACGCTTTGGGGTACTCATCTCTTATCCGCAACTCCTCTCATACCACTAAATGAAATTTGATGAAACATTCACAGAATCTTTTTTACGTATTGCCATTGTGCACCTCCTATTTTACTTTTTGATCTGACACATTTTCCCACAACAAAACATGGACACTCCCATTATATTCATATGGGAGGCGGGGGTATCATTTCGTGAGCTCATTGCTCACAGTACCTCTAGTTTATGAGATATATTGCAAATGTCTGAATATAGATATAATCATTGTTTGGATTAAAAATGGATTGTGGGATTTTTTTTAGGTTATAAAACCTTGAATCCTTTTGATGCCACTCAGACAGGTATTTAAGATTCTGTAAACTTTTGATTTATAGGTACGGTTCCAAAAATTTAGTATTTCCTTAGTCATTCTTTGTCAATTACCTTTTGTCGAGTGACACATGGTCAATCTTTACGCATATGATAATTATATTTAATGAAAAGGGGCGAAGAGAACAAACAGTGATCGATAAAAAACAAACAAACAAACTATACAAATATGTGAAGAAGGAATAAAACACGGATCCCTGGAAATTACAGATGTGGGATCAGGTGTCAAGGAGGAAAGGAAATTCGTCTCCAATTCATTCTGATCCCACTTTTTGAACCATTGAGGGTTGTCGATGCGTTCCTTAGTCCCTTTCTTCAAATCACCTAACATCCCATCTAATGCACCAAGTATTTCTTAAAAAACCTCTTATATTGTCCATGTGATTAATGGTGATATTTCTCACGAATTATTTCTTGGTAACCCTGTCCTTTACAATGATCTTATACTCAGCAGGAAGCTCCGTGCCTAGTCCAGTCAGTCTGTGTTCAGGATTTGCTTTCTCGCCATTTGGGAGACGGAATTCAAATCGCTGAAGCAGGTTTGCGCACATCAGCAATATTTCAGGTTTAGCGACTGTCTCCCCCAAACAAACGCGGTTGCCAGCTGAGAAAGGGAGCCAACTGTCTGGCCTGGTAGGCTTCTTTTTCCCGTTTTCATCAAGATAACGATAAGGGTCAAATTTTTCTGGGTCTTTAAAGAATTTCGGGTCATTGTGAAGAGCCCAGTGGTTTATAAAGACCAAGGTACCTTTTGGAATGTCATATCCACCTGTTTATGAAAGTAATAGTACATGTATTCTATGTTTTTTAAATGTACTAAGTAGATAGATGTCTTTTTAAAAAAACAAAATATCGAATGAATAAGAATTGTATCAATTTGATCAAAAGACACCAAGTCTGTGCAAAAGTTTTAAAACGGACAGTCATTATTATATATATTGTAGTGTAATACACACCAACTTGTGAATCACAAATGGTCATGTGTGGGATACCAAGTCCTGCAACACTTCCAAGTCTCATACTTTCAAACAAGCACGCTTCAGTGTAGTCTAGTTTGTTTCGGTCCTTCATTGATGGATGTCCTGCCCCTTAAAAGTTTCAAAATAATATAAATGTTGCTTTAAATTTTTGTCCCACATTTTCAGACATTGTGGTTTTTTTAATTATAAAAGCAAAATAAAATTTGTTCAACTTAATTTTTAAAATTATGTTCCGATTTTCAATTAATGAAATGTTTATAGTAATTTGAATTACCGATGACCCTGTCAATTTCCTCCTGGCATTTGGTCTGAATTTCCGGATACATGGTCATGAAATATATAAACCAGTCCATTGTAAATCTGGTAGTATCAACACCGGCTGTTCAGAAAAAAAATATCATCAAATTAGTATCGTTAAGTTTACTTATTTTTTTTTTTAAAAAGATACATAAAGAAAAGAAATCACATTAATTAATAAGATTTATTTGTATATATAAAACAAGAGGACCGTGGGCCTTATAGGTCACATGACTATCATGTAACAACTTTCCAACAATTGAATTTGGTTCGTGTTTTAAACCAGAGGCACCGTTCACGGTAACTCAGACGGTAGAGCGCTCGCTCCGTGATCGGGAGGTCGTGAGTTCGTATCTCGGCCGCGACTGACCTAGTCGTTAAAATTGGTAGCAACTGTTCCTTCGCCATGCGCTCGGCACTTTGAAGTGAAAGTTGCGGGTCCTTCGGATGAGACCTTAAAAACCGAGGCCCCGTGTCAGCGGCAGGCGTTGGCACGATAAAGATCCCTCACTGCTCAATGGCCCTCAGTGCCGAGTAAAGGTCAAAATTTGAAGCCCATCACCGGCATACGGTGACGTCTCCATATGAGTGAAAAATTCTCGAGAGGGACGTTAAACAATATACAATCAATCAATCAATAAACCAGAGGCCATGAAATTCACAATTTAAATTATACACTTAGCATACTTGGTCTAGTTACTTAATACCCAAAGGTTAGTTCAGAGTAACAAAGAGAAAATATATTTCAACTTTATAACCATTTGTGCACCCCATCCCACAGGAACCACAGATCCTGGGGCCACACATTTCAAAATTTTGGAAATTTTATTATATTTTTTTTTCCATTATAAATGGTTGATTAATAGCAAAGAGGAGATTTCAAAGCATAAATTTATTTTCAGACTATTTAACCACTACCCCCCTATACCCCTGACCCAGGGGGCATGAAATTAACCGTTTTGTTATATGCACCTTTTTTTCGTCATAAATATATACATGTATACTAAGATCATTGGCATAATACCCAGGAGCAATGAAAAGATTTTCAAAGAATTCATGCATTTTTACTTTGTGATCATTAGGGCCCCGTCTTAACACCAGAACCCCTGACCCAGGGGCCATGAAATTTACAAATTTGGTCAAGGAACTCTTGCTCATTATATTTATATACATAGTTCATTGGTTTAATACCCAGGAGCAGAGAAGATTTCTAAAGAATCAAATTAATTTCACTATATAATCATTAGAGAACCATGACCCCAGGGGCCATGAAATTCACAATTTCGAAGAGGCACTCTTGGTTATCATAACTATGTACTTGGCTAGTTTGTTAAATACCCAGGAGCAGAGGAGAAGATTTTCAAAGAAATAATGCTCTTTTACTATATGGTCATTATAGCCCCACCCTGACACCAGAACCCCTTGCTCAGGGGCCTTGAATTTCACAAATTTTATAGAGGACGCAAAGTTGATTATTGTCATGCCAACAGTTTGAATGCTTGATGCCCAAGAGTAAAGAAAAAGATTTTTAAAGATTGCATTAATGTTAGTGGTTTTGGTCCCAACCCTAAGGCCACGGGGGAGGGAGGCAGGGTCCATGAAATTCACAAATTTTGTTTTCCTTCACCCATAGATGCTGTATACCAAATTTGGTTGAAATTGGTTTAGTGGTTCTAGAGAAGAAGCTAAAAATGTTCAAAAGTTTACGACCGACGTACGACGACGGACGAAAACAGATAGCAATAGGTCAAATGAGTTTACTCATGTGACCTAAAAACGAATGATAAAACCATGCTGAAAAAATGATAAAAGTATTTTTAAAATCTTTCTTATTTAAATTCAATCGACATGAAAACTTTTAAGGACACACGCGTCTTACCGAGAAATATATCTGAAATGGTTTGAACTAAACGTGTATCGTCCAACTTCTGCAGTATGGATTCGTCTCCCTCATTCTCTGCTTCTTCTTTAGCCGCCAACAGACTATCAATAAAATCCCTATTGACACCTTCAAAACAGAAAGAAACTAATATATATCATGTCCATATTTTTAAGACATAAAAGCCTATATTTATGTAAAACAAATGCTATTGCGAATAATTTCATACATGTATGATTTTTTTTTCTTTGAATTTTTTACATGAAAATTAATTGCCATTTGTAAAAAAAAAATACCATTTTCATTTAGAGGATGTTTCAAAAATAGAAATGCAAACGTCAGATAAAAAGTTTTAAACCTGGTTTAAACGTATCTACATGGTCTCTATATTTAGCTCTTATAAATTGTTCTAGTTGCTCTGCCTTTTGAACAAACTTCTTCCATTTTGCAGTAGGACAGAGGTCCTTCAAACACGGTACTAAATCCTCAACAAATCCGGAACCAAATGCATCAATCAAGTCTTCTTCTAGCTTAAGAAGAGTTTTTACTTCCGGGTCATCAATAGGAAGTCTGTTAAATAATTCATTTTATTTCATTACATTTAAATACCAAAAAATGCAAGTCTTTTGAATAAAATGATTTTTTTAAAAATAATTTTTCGTTTATTTAGCTATCACTGATTCACGAAGTTCACCGAAAAATTAGAACAAGTCTCACAAACCTACTTCTGCCCAAAACAAATAGTGTACAGTTGATGGAAGACCATTGAATCTGCGTAGTCTTTAAATATGAATGGATCTTTTTCCTGAGCCATCTTATTAAGGAATTTTTCCATGTTCTCTTGAATCATATTTTCAAGAAGGTCCCCTTGTAAATAGTTCCTGAAATACAATATTTTTATTATGTTCTACTTTTTTTTGCAATGGAATTATGGTTAATTATATTTTGAGAAATAATGAAATATAATTTTTTTTCCTCCTATTATAGAAAATGTATTAAAAGAATCTTTCGAGTATAGAAAAGTTTTTAACAAAACAATGAAAAATATATTTTATCCTTTATAACTCGTCGTCAGTGTATAAAACAACTACAAAAAAATGTTTTCCTAGACCCTTTCTTTTTTTCTATTAAAGGAACAAACCTAAGGGCTTGGCCGGCAATTTTCCTGTGAAGTTTCCAAGCTGGCGAATAGGAACTAAACGCTATGTCCTTCCCCCCTGCAGAGATTGCATCAGCTTAAACATACACAAAGTACTGAATAAATTCTTTTGAAAATCTTTTCACTTTTTTTTTAAATTCTTCATTGTTACCACTTGTTACTACTCTGGTTTTTATTCTTAAAAATAAATTCAATGATTAATTATGAACATTACTTGATGCTAACTTTGGTCTTCCAGCAAAATCTGCCTTCTTTTTTACCAATGCCTCTATTACAACGTCATTATTGTTCAGGAAAATCCAAGTTTGTGTACCTAGTTTGAAATCAACATAAGAACGTTATGAATTCAAACTCTCCCCATATCATATTGCAATGTCTTTTATACAAATTTTACTCTTTATTGTGTTTCTTTTACTTTCCTAGTATTAGCCTAAAAGAATAAGAGGCAAAAGTCAATTGACATGAATTAATTTTAGATTTTTACAGGGAGTAAAGTAAATCTTACCAAAAGACAGGTGCACAACAGGACCGTACACTTTGGACAGCTCTGCAACTTTCTTATGCATTTCAACAGACGAGTAAACTAAAAATTGTCACAAATTTACACAACAATAAATTTTCTCGATGCTATTAACCTATATTAACATAATTTTAAATTTGTTGTATTCTCCTCATTTTTAAAAATGTTCAGCATTTGTAATACTTCAATATAATAGTGTTTCGTGCATGCATATAAATTATGTTAGAAACATTGGATCAAATTCATTTTATATGTGTAGGAATTATAAAAGAACTGCGAACGATAGTATTGTTCTCCCGCCTACCTCCAAGTCAATTTTCAAAAGTTAACATATTTGATGAATTTTCAATATTTCTTATAGATGATTATACGGATTTTCATAAAACATTACTTATTTGGGAAAACAAAGAGAGATAACTCTAAAATTTTGGTAAAACTTGTGTTTTTCACTATAGAAATCAACGGAAAACGGAAAATATTTTTAAAACATCTTTCCCCCCAATGTCACAAAAATTCCTTTTTACAGGTAATATGGAATGATATTTCACAAATTCAGACTAAAGCTTTTTGTGTGACGGGGGGGGGGGGGGGGGGGCATATGTTTATTGGCAAAAAACCACAAAAATGTTTATTTTCCACCAATTTCAAAGCGATTTACAACTGAAACATAATATTTTATTGATATATTCATGTTTTATTTATTTGCCTGAGACAAAAGAAAACATATAAGGAACATTTAATCATATCCAAGACTATTTCAAAATATGGTGATGCCTGAAACTCCGATTTCAATGGAAAATATCGTCTACCCCCCTTTTTTCAAGAGCTGGAATTATGGATAATTTACTGTTTAGCGCTGGTATTAAGACAATTCATCAATTACCATTGAACTGTTCTTTGTATTAAACAAAGATTTTATGGCCAAATTGCTATTCCTTTTGAATTAAATGGTTCCAAAATGTAGGCGGGAATCGAGAGTTAGTGTGCATATTTCTTTAATAAAATAGTTTCATATATTTTATCAATATCTGTCAGTAATTATCAATGTTTACCAAACTTGACGGACAACCCTCGTATACTGTAAACCAACTTTTATTCGTGACGACTTTTTTTGCGATTGTATGAGTGTAAATTATTTCGCGACGATTAATTTTCGCGATGAAGCATTTTTTGATCTGTTGTTACAATATAATAGACACAGAGACATTGAGATCGGTTCGCGGCGAGAAATATTCGCGATGATGAGGCCCTTGCAAAACCTCACAAAAAAAATTGTCACACGCGAATAAAAGTTAGTTTACAGTATTTTGAAGAAAACAGGTGAATACATTGCCCACACATGTAAATATATATTATATCGTATGGCAAGTCTTACGACAAGTACACATCTGTATTTCCCCTTTGTTAACAACAAAACATAAATGTTTCAAAGCAGTTTAACCTGTAAAAATACCATGCCTGTAATAAAATATATAAATGAAAGCGCCTATTAACTATATTTTTTTCTTTATTGCATAGTCAAATTCGTGGTAAAAAAGTAGAATTATTTAAAATGCTATGCAGAGAATGCTTACTTTTATAATGGCCGACAAATGGTATGCACCAGGGTCCCGGTGGCAGACGATATTTCATTCGTTTGATGACGTAATACACGAAAAGACCAATGCTCAGTGTTGCAAGCAAGGTTTGTGTGTTGACAAACATGTTTTGCGGTTTTTCTTTACTTTCGCCTTTCTCTGGATATAGAAAAAAAAATAATTATTGTCTGTTTGGAAAATGAAATTATTTGTCAATATCAATTTTCAAAATAATATTTCAGCTGATCAAAAATCAGATGAAAGACCTATATTTATTAGTCATAAGTTCTTGGAGCGTAAGACTTGGACTTTGTCTTTAGAGAACCTTTTAGTTAGTGAACAAGGATGCAAGCTAGGTTAGTAGTATTGAATCTCAACTCGCTGATTCAAAAGGATGCAAGAGTTACCCCGCCTGCACAGGAATAAAATATATGCTGCAAATATATGTATTCTTCTCATCAGGGCCATGGTAGAGTACTCTTTAATCAATAGTATTGTTATAGTCAAAACTTACCAGTTTATGGTGCTACATCAGACACTTTATTTTATATTCTGTAGAGACAGAAGATAAATGTTATTTCTCTTTGAAATGTAAACAAACTAGGTTAATTGCTTCTACCAGTTTCTGTTATGGAGTGCCGTAGCTACCTTAAGCTGATAAAGTAGATCCTTATTCAAGACACTGTTACGTCTTACCAATTACTGTATTTACAGAACATCAGAATTAAAAATAGGAGTTTATGTTTGTTTTTCAGAAATATCAAGTCGTTCACTGAATTAGCTATTGCTAACAGAAAATTATTTCCATTTTTAGAGACATCAAGTCGATATGCATTTCAGAATCTATAAATAGTTCAAACAAGTCATTACGCATATATGCACTTAATCATGTGATCAAGTTTGATCCAATCAGAGAGCTTGGAATAAATGAGAAAATAAATACATGTATATGATATTATTTTATCATTCATACGAGTATAGGCAGTATTCACATTATTATATGCAGTTACTGCATGATCATTATAGTATGATTTGGTTGTCGCATTATATGATGGGGTATGTGGTATATACAGTCTTTCAATTACCTTTGGGGTTAGTAAAATGCTTTGGAATGTAGGTCAATTTAGCTGACTCTAGAATATATCTGTCTAAGCGTGCTGTTTATGTGTGACATTTCCTGTTTTCCATTTCCTTTGAATTAATATGTAGCAGTAAAGGTTTTAGTTATTGTTAGCTAATTAATGTGTGTTAGTTGCTTAACAAAAACTGTCATATGATATTTTTCATACTCAAAGATGAACAGTAAGATTATATAACATCCTTCAACTTGCCGCTGATAGTAATCAAGAGCCCGTGCTTCGCTTCTCTGTTTTTCCCACTATAGGATATGCGCATGCACCACCAATGCATATATTTTTGCCGACATCCAGTTCATGTAGCAACTGAAACTTTCAAGACCAGCAAAAAATGATTCCTTGCAATCGGAAAACTTGTCAAATTGTATGACTAAATGCATTTTGCAACACATATTTTGAATTGTATGCAAGTCATATTTGGACACTACCATTTCGGGTTAAGTTTGTGGATTGTTCTTTGGAGTGGATATACAACATGGTAGTCAAAATCATAAATCTCTAGTAATTTGAATAGTCGTTCCTGGGTATCTAGTGAAGATAATTTTGACAGGGGAACCTGACGTAACCTAAATATGAACATGATTAGAATTGTCTAAATGGTATTTAAAATCTTATTACACTCTGTTGATTTATCTTTAAGGACAATACCTGCCTTTGTATTTTTCTTTCATGATTCCTATGCAATATCGTCTATTACATACACTCAGATACTTCCATCAATGATACTACACAATAACTTCGTAATCTGAGCTGATTGTATAGTTACCGAATTTAAATTGGAAAGCCTTTCAATACTTTGATTGGCAAAAATATAATAATTAAGCGTTATCACTAATATAAAATGAACAAAAGAAGTATAAAAAAAAACACAAAATATCACAATACAAGGGTATTTTATATTTCAAAACATATTTGAATATTATAAGTTAAAGATTATGCATATACTAGTATTTCAGCACATTGGTATGCATGTGTTCTCTGGACTTTTTCATACATATTTTTAATTTTTGTATATATCCTCTTGTAACATACCATAATCAATATAATAAATTTATTTTAAATGTCAAATTATTTTGTCGTCAAGCAAGGAAGTTGTAAATAAATTTAGAATCAGCCACTCAGAGTCAATAGAGGGTACATTATCCTTCATTTTATTAAAATTATTTTTGTTCATAAATCAAATTTTACAGCAGTTCATAAAATATAGTCGAATATATCTTCATTCAAATGTCATTTTACTCATTTTATATGCGTTTACACATTCACACATGTTTATTAACCTACAACAGTATTCTCCCATGTGGATAAATAATTTTCAGAGAAAACTCATAGACAATAAAAAAAAATTAAGGAAAAGAAGAAAAAACAAGATAAAGAGTGTGTTCTCAAACTTTTGAGGGAACATGATAAAGTTTTAAATCCATTTCCTTTAGATAAACATTGTAATTTATAAAATAGAAATGGACATTTAGACCATAATTGTTTAAGTATATTGAACATCTTAACTCTTATTTCCAGTTCAACAGCGAGAAAAAAACTCTAGCTTCGGAGCAGCTTGCACCATTAAATCCATTAAAAGCGTACTTGTTTTTTTTCCATAAAACTCAAACGTTATAAAGTAATTTTTCCATGAAAATTGAGCAAAAAAGAATAAAATGTAGGAAGAGGACCAAAGATAGGCTAGAAAACCTGCAAAAAAATTGTCAACACGTTTCATTAACATTTTTACGGAGACTCGGGAGCACCATAGAAGTAAACCCTTATATTCAATTCTGAACCAATTGTTCAAAATACTTGGTGAGTTACCAAGGCGTTTTTTAGTCCCATTTCTTTCAAGTCATGCTTTCTGATACAAATGCAAGAAATTCTTTCTGAACCTCTTATATTGTCAATAAATGATAACATATCCCACGAATAATTAATTGATGACCCTATCCTTTACGATGACTTTATACTCAGATGGGAGCTCTGTGCCAAATCCCAGCTGCTTGTATTCAGGATTTGCTCTCTCCCCATCAGGGAGACGGATTTCAAATCGCTGAAGAAGGTTTGCACACATCAGCAGTATTTCAGGTTTGGCGACCGCTTCTCCCAAACAAACTCGGCTGCCAGCTGAGAAAGGAAGCCAACTATCGGGTCGTGCAGGCTTCTTTTTCCCGTTTTCATCAAGGTAACGATATGGGTCAAATTTTTTCGGGTCTTTAAAGAACTTTGGGTCATTGTGAAGAGCCCAGTGGTTTATAAAGATTGTGGTGCCTTTTGGAATGTCATATCCCCCTGTTCGTAAAAGAAATAGTATTTTTTAACATTTTTAATATCATAACTTTATAAAGGTCTTATAAAAAGAAAATAGTGAACAACGATTATTTCATTTTAATTAGAAAACACTTGTTCTGAATGAAAAAACTTTGAAAAGCGATATTATTTTACAACACTGACCAACTTGTGAATCACAAATGGCCATGTGAGGTACACCAAGTCCTGCAACACTTCCAAGTCTCATACTTTCAAACAAGCAAGCTTCTATGTAGTCCAATTTATTACGATCCTTCATTGATGGGTGTCTCGCTCCTTCGAAAATTTAAAATATAAATGCATATATCGATTTGCACCTTAATTTCTTGTGAAAATGTATTTTGCTTGGAAAAGCTAAATAAGATGTGATTTATTAACATAACTTATTTTTTTTTTTTTATTTTCAATAAATGTATATAATGCTCTAAAAATCTAAATTACCAACAACGCTGTCAATTTCCTCCTGGCATTTGGTTTGTATTTCCGGGAATCTGGTCATGAAATATACAAACCAGTCCATTGTTAATCTTGTAGTATCCACACCAGCTTTTGAAAAACGTTCGTTAAAATCAGTAGTTATTGTGTTACATTAGTTTCTTGAAGGAATATTCAAAATGTAAAAGAAAGCACATTTAGGATTTGTCTTTGAAAAATGTAAGTTAAAAGAGTTAGAAAATAAAATGAAATTATACTGACAATGCTATAGAAGAAAAATATACAATTTTAGTGAAATATATTGCTTATTTTTTTTCAATTTAAAAAAAAAATAGGATTTAAACAAATTATGTAACCTGATGATAAACCAGCTCCACTGCCTAGATTAGAGAAGTAGAAGTATTCAAAAATATACCGAGGAATTCAAATCTAACTAAACAGGCTATTACCTAGAAATATATCTGATATGGTTTGAATTAAACGTGTATCGTCCAGCTTCTCCAGAGCGGATTCGTCTCCCTCATTCTCCGCCTCTTCTTTTGCCGCCAACAGACTATCAATGAAATCCCTATTGACACCTTCAAAATGTTAAGGATATATTTATATACGTATGTATACCAAGTGAATAATTCCTTACACATTTAAGAGTACTTTTATACACTGTATAAATAATTTTACAGCAAATATATTCTAAAATAATTTTGCATAAAATTTGATATTATTTATATGTAAATTGCTAACCCTAACCTAATTTTCATAGAGGAATTATTGCTAACTTCTGATAAAAGTTGATTTACCTGATTTATAGGTATCTACGTGGTCTCTATATTTAGTGCTTATTAACTTTGTTAGTTGGTGTGAGACTTTCACAAAATTCTTCCACTTTGCAGTAGGGCAGATGTCTTTGAGATATGGCACTAAATCCTCTATGAATCCAGTACCCAAAGAAGTATTCAGGTCTTCATCTAGTTCAAGAAGTGTTTTTACTTCCGGGTCATCAATCGGACGTCTGTTAAAAGATTTATTTTTGATTTCAATACATTTGAAGAACAGAAATGTGTAAGTGATTAAAATTAAAAGGTTTTACACGTTTGAAATATTTTGGGCACATATAGGTGTCATTGATGAACGAAAATCACTGAAAAAATAGAACTTGTCTCCCAAACCTACTTCTGTCCAAAACAAATTGTGTAGAGTTGGTGGTACACCATCAAATCTGCGTAGTCTTTAAATTTGAATGGATCTTTTTCCTGTGCCATTTTATTTAGAAATTTGTCCATGTTGTCTTGTATCATATTTTCAAGAAGTGTCCCTTGTAAATAGTTCCTAGAATAAAGCGGTATATCATCTGTCACAATTTTCCAATGGTATTATGAATTAAATGTTGCTCACAAATATTGGTATATTGCCTTTTAAAGCAAAATATTTCTTCTAATGATGTAAAAGAAATCGAAAAAGCTTTTGAATGCAAAAAAAAAATTAGCAGAAAACATGGCAAACGTAAAAAAGTTTTCTTTATCTTTGACGTTCAAAATGTATCTTATCCTGTATATACCGTCACCCATGTATATTCTCAGCATTTTTAAGTCTTTTCTTTTCTTGTAAAAAGGAACGTACCTTAGAGCTTTGCCAGCTATTTTCCTGTGAAGTTTCCAAGTTGGTGAATAAGTACTTAACGCTATGTCTTTGCCTCCAGCAGTTATCACATCAGCTAGAACACACACAAACAGTTAATGTTTTGTATTTAGCGTGTACAATATTTTGCGGAAATTGATTTTTGAATAAGTTAGCGTAGATTTGATTTAGTGCATTTCTTCGTATTCTTATTATGTGGTATGTGCAAAACATTTAGATTTGTACTTGATTTAGCGGTTGCTGTGTACCGCCGAAGCCGCTAAAAGAATACACAGTACGTTTACAAAATACGAGGGGCGATCAAAAAGTTTGCGAACTAATTGAATAACTTCCATAAAAGAAATAATGTTTGGTTTCAGTGTTGATTATATTTTAAATTAGTCCTCTCCAATTTTAATGCACATCTATCATCGTTCTGCTCATGCGCAAATCACGTGATGTAGACAGTCACATGACCCCCATCGTAGCGTTCTGTCACAAAATCTGAAAAATTTTCTGAGTTTTATATTTTTTTTCCATGTAAGTTAATTTTCATAACAAGAACAGTTAATTTGTCAGAAGTGGTCAAATCTGGGCAACAGAATGGGTGGATACTAACATCCTTTCCAAATATAAGCATTGCGACCATCAAAACCGAAATTTTCTGTTCGGTTGAGACGTTTTTTCAAGGTGGATAGAGAACGGGTGCCTCCTTTTTATCGTATCTAATGTGTTTAAAATCTAAAGTAAACGATATCTTAGGTATTTGATATTTATATTATTTTTGAAATATTCAACTATTTTTCAAAGTGTAAATTGGAGGTTTATGTTTGAAAAATGCTTAATTTAAAACACATCTCTTTTCAACTTAGCAACATAACAAGTTCCAATTTTAAACATCTGACTTCCTTCACCAAAACGATCTTTCCAATCCTTGGTTGAATTTATAGAGAGTCATTTGTTTTTATAAACTGTGTACAAATTAATATACGCTACTTCAAAGGTATTTCAAAGATAAACCATAAATTTAACAGTCGTTTGTGTAACGATATCGACTGAGACAACCATTTTTCGTAACAAGTGACCTGCATAATGAGGACATTTTCACATTATGACGTCACAAACAAGGAGTAATTCAGCATATGCTATTTATAGTGTATGGCTATGTTTGAATCAATTTTCTTTCTAATCTGAATTGTGGTTTTGTAGATACATGTATAGAGATAGTTTGCGAACATTTTGATCACCCCTCGTATATTCGATATACTGATATTTTTTTCATTATTGTTACAACCATCATTTTGTATTGTGCGTTTCTCTGCTTAATTTTAAAATGTAATTTTATTCATTGATTAATTATTAATATTACTTGATGGTGACTTTGGTCTTCCAGCAAAATCTGCCTTCTTTTTTATCAATGCCTCTATTACAACGTCATTATTGTTCAGGAAAATCCAAGTTTGTGTACCTATTTTGAAATCAACATAAGAAGACAATAAAGCTAAAGGATTTATTCACTTTGACAAAAGAGTTGACCTATAGAAGAGAACAATTTCTCGGGAAAAAATGACATTTTAAAATTCATCTTTATTTGTTGTTTTCTACCGTATATAGGTCTAAATTTTTCGAATTTGTATTTTATACCTAAAATTTATTATTTACAACTTTACAATTAACCTCCAAAGTTGGCCGGAACACCATTTTGTCCGTTAAAGCGTTGATTTTTGCATGAATTTTGGCCTTGAAGTCCTTTAGGGCAGGCCTGCCCCTAAATAAAATTGTGATATTTTGATAGGTTTGGATGTAAGGAATAATTTGAGAAAGGATATTTTAGGGGCACCCCTGCTCTAGGGTCGAAATTCACAAAAAAAACTACAAAAAATAAGGAGACCTGATTTTGATAATCTGCTTCAAATTTATATGTCATAGTCAGACTAGCTCAGTCGATATGTGCGCTGAATATTACACCGTTGAAATTAAAGTCGGGGGTTCGAATCCAGCTAGTACCACACTTTTAAAATTTTAAATTTTCGCCTTTTCAAAGACTATTTTAATATTTTTTTTATAGACTTGTGTATTTTCCTTCAATTTTCTATCCTTTATGCATGCCCATTCTTGATATAAGAAACAGTAAAGAGATATCAAATCGTTAAAATCCAATGTACAGTTGTCAGTCAGACGGAACAAACCTCAGTATAAGCACACTTTCTCCGAGGACAAGAACAACTCACTCTGCGTTACTCAATACAGGCACTCTTTGCAGCATTGAGCTGCGATGAATGCTAATTTTATCTATTCCTTAGAATTTTTAAAATAACATTGATTATGGCTACATATAATGATCAGTTACTGTACTCCCTTGGATTTGATTTAGGTCTATATAATTTGCACACATTAATGGAATGTTTTATTATATTCATTGGATAAAATTGCCTCGACACAAAGACTAGAATTTCAGAGGCAGTAAACATTTCCATTATGCACATTGAGAAGTTAAGACAAATATCAATTATTACATTTTGAGATAACAAACTCGGGAAATCAATGAAAGGGTTCCTCCTACCTCTACTCGCTGAAAAAAAGATTTAGGACAAATTGTTATATGTATTCAGCTTAATGCCATTAATCAGAACGGAAGTCGACAAGGTTTTTGTAGAGAAAAAACCAAGCCCGGTCCTATAGGTCAAATCCCTATTTATAATGAAGTGATCCTTTAATCTGAGTTACATTGGGTTTTTTTTTTGACATACCAAACGATGTGTGTTTCATATTATATAACTATAGCCTATAAGAATAGGAAATAATTTTAAGTCGGTTTACTCAACATTTTCTTTTTAAAATTGTTGCAGGAATTAAACTACATCTTACCGAAAGACAGGCGCACAACAGGACCGTACACTTTGGAGAGCTCCGCAACTTTCTTGTGCATTTCAACAGAAGAGTAAACTGAAAGTTGATATTTAAAGAATGTGGGCACTATGTAATGACATTGATGATATACAACTAATATTCAGTTTTATTGTATAGTATTTTCATCATTTTTTGAAAAGTTCAGCAACTTTAATATTTTAATATGATAGTGTTTGAAACATACAGACAGAATTATTATGTTATTTTACATGTGAAAATTTTTAATTTACATGCATTAGTTCATGAAAATTGGTGAATGTATTGCCAATAACAACAAAAATTTGTATTTTTCATTTTTTAACAGGTATTGAATGACAGAATTCGACATACATATTTTTTTTTATTGAGAATGAAACACACCTATGCTAGAAAGCAGTTCGACCCTTTGAAAACTGATCATGACATATGTAATGAAAATAAAATTATATAATTAAAAACGTTCAATGTTGTAGTTCTTCTTTATCTACTCTAAAAGAAGTGTTTTTCTTTACTGCATTAAATTCATGATAAAAATCAAAATAATATCCAAAACAATATAGAAAAATGCTTACTTTTATAATGGCCAACAAGTGGTATGCACCATGGTCCTGGCGGCAGACGATATCGCATTCGTTTGATGACGTAATAAACAAAGAGACCAATACTCAATGCTGCGAGCATAGCCTGTGTGTTGACAGACAAGTTATTCATGTTTCACTTTTTCTTTAATTTTGCCTATAAAATGAATAAAGATAACCACTGAATTACAGCCACTAAGTCCACATCTTTAAAGATTAGGCGATAGCTGTTTGCCTATATTGATGGCCATATTCATATTCTGCTGGATGCTGCAGCTCTGTGAAATACCTTATATATTCAACCTAGCACTTAATTTGCACACTTCGAAAAGGTAGCTTTTGTAATAATGAAAATATTGTTTTAGTCTAATTATTGCCAGTTAATTGATAAAAACAGATTCCATCTCTGAGATAAACCAAAAGTAAAACAGAATTGTAATATTTGCTTTAAAAATTTGGTGGTGAATAATTTCTTTTATTAAGAGGCAGTCCACTGAAAATCAGGCAATGGGTGGCACATCGCATGTCATGGATTTTTATTATTTTTTGCATATAGACTTTTTAAAGCAAGTGTTTACACATGACAACATCAAAAAAAATTTTAGTGCTCCAATAGTCCTATTTTTGGTAAGTGTTCAATTTTAAGTGCAAAAAGGTCAACATGGGGGTAAAAAAAAATACTACGTTTTTATTTTGTTTTATATGTACCGGATACGCAAAACCTGAATGTGTCTATCAATATTATTTATACCATAGACTCTTATCTTTAATTTTAGTAATGAATAAGACTCCAATTTATATTTCTTTAGAAAAAAATATGTGGTCCAAAATGGAGTTTAGCAAGTAACTTTTTGAATTCATTATCCAATTTTCATTACGTTATAAAACCCAATACATTTCAATGACAGATTTTTTTTCTCATGTTATTATGAATACAAAGTACAAACTTTTGAGTCACTCAATAAAATCAGTGGGCACCCGTATATTGAGAGAAATAAAAGGAGTCAAATTTACCTATGTTTTACAATTTTTCACAATTAAACCGATCCCGACCGGAATTATATAAAGAAGGAAATACTATAATTGTAAAGTTAAATTTGGCTCTTTTGTTATAATATGGCCAAAAAATTACTTGATTTATTTTTTTAAATGTCTTATGGGTGGCAGTTGTCTTTAGTTTTATAACTTTACACATTTTGCATTATTTTCAATCGGGATCGGTTTTATTTCAATCGGGATCGGTTTTTACTGTAAAACTAGAAATTTTATCAGAAAAAATATGCTTGTCTTTTATTTCTGTTGAGTTAGTCAAATGTTTTAAAATTATTTTATCCATGGATTCAAATGTTTATACAATGTATTTAAAATACTAATGTCTTTTACGTACATGAAGATTACAATCATGTATAACATCTGTTCGATTTCTTGATACTCGGTATTAAAAAAAAAACAAGTATTTGTACATGCATTATGCAACAACTGAGAGTAAACAGCTTATCTTTATTAAATATCTTATTTCCAATTAAAGTTTTTTTTAATTCTCTCGTGAATTAAAGAGTTAAATTTTATCATTGGCGAAAATATACTTGCACTTACCTAAATGCAGAAAATATTTAAATGTGTACAGTCTCGGCCTTATCCAAATTTTTTAAACCTGTCATCTATAAAAGCCGTTTCCCCAATATTTTCATCTTATGAAATTTAATTTTATACTTATAAGAAAATAAGTTATTTCATATATAGTATCATTATTTAAGAGCCTATAAATCGCAAGCAAAAAGCCGGGACGGGACGGGATGGGTGGGGCAAGGCGGCATATTAAAAAAACTTTCATTAATCGGAAAACATTTTAGAATTGGCCAACATGGTCACATTTTTTAACTACATATTGAATGTGAGTATGTGATTGTTTCAATCACCAAATTTAACAAAAAAAAAAAAAAAAAAAAAAAAAAAAGACCAAACAAAAACAATACAAAACAAAAAATATGGAATGCCATATACGACAGCCAACTGCTTACTGCCAACTGCTGACTGCTTACTGCCAACTGTCAGCTGCTTACTGCCAACTGCCACACATATTTGAAAAAATTTTATATTTGTATTGATATTTATATGAATTTTCACAAAAAAGGGAAGAAAAAAAAGGCACGGATCCAGGACATTTTTTCCGAGGGGGTCACCCTGGTAAAATTGAATTGAATAAAATGAACAATATGTTTTATCTTATGTAATATTCAATATATGCGGTTGATAAAGTACATTGTTTATTATCTTTTTTATTTATTTTCCTATTTAAAATAGGTAATAAAATGACTATTTTCTGCTTTTAATCTTTAAAGAAGCCCCCCCCCCCTCCCCGGGAGACAACAAAACCTTTGAAGAGAGAATAATAATAAAAAAGATTTGTCGTTTCGCAGAGAAAGATGTTTTGAAAATAAATTTCCGTTTTCCATTATATTCTATAGTTAAAAATTTCCTCAAATTAAAGATGTATATCTCTGTGTGTTATAATGCAGGCACGTAGCATCGTTTTTGAAAGTGAGGGGGGGGGGGGCAACCAGGGAAATTTTTTTTTGCTTACCTGAAAAAGTTGACAAGCAAAATAAAAAAAGGAAATAGCCCAAACTCGAAAACCCTATTTCGTGTGTGTGTGGGGGGGGGGGGGCTAACTTTTTTTAAGGCCAACTACCTTTCACTTACATATTTTCCCACACAATACTACATATCCTTGATATCATTATACTATGGTAAGAAGTGGGGGGGGGGGGCAACCATCCTTTCAATATACATTTTCAATAGTAAAGGTAATGTTGGGGAAAAAGTTGGGGGGGGGGGGGGCCCCCCCCCCCCCCTGCCCCCCCCCCCCCCCCCCTGTTGCTGCGTCCCTGTAATGTTTCACATGCATAGATCTGGGGGGGGGATTTAAAATGTGTGCAGTCATACGTTAAATAAACTAAACGAACTACCGGTATAACTGACCTTGGACCCTCCACTTAGAAAACGCCGATCAAACATTTATATCTCTTTGTTTGTACAAATAAAATATGTTTTACATGCATAGATCTAGAGAGAGGGTCCGGAACACCCCTCTGAAATTTGTAAAGTTATTTAATGCACAAACTAAACCAACTAAAAGTTATTTTATGTGGTATGAAAAATGTCATACACATGAAGGTATGACGCATTAGAACCCCCTCTCCCCGGCCGAAATAAATTTTCACATTTAGGAAAGGACTTTACGTATTTTTTTCTTGTCAAGAAATTTCTGGGTTGGATTTTTTTTTAACAGAGTGACCCCCTTGGAAAAAATGTCCTATAGATCCGCGCCTTTTTTTTTTAATTTACATAAATATCATGAAAATAACATTTATTCAAATATGTGTGGCAGTTGGCAGTAAGCAGCTGACAGTTGACAGTAAGCAGTCAGCAGTTGGCAGTAAGCAGTTGGCTGTCGTATATGGCATTCCATACCCACGAAATCTTCCGTTTTAGTGGCAAATTGAAGTGGGGAGTTCAACAGTAATTTTCCTCAATAAATGTTTTTTAAATCTTATTTTTCACTTTTTTAATATAATATTTTAAATCGTACCGCGGATGTACAAATATCATGAAATAAACATCTCAACTCCGTTGACTTGAATTAAATGTTGCGTAAATCTAAATATTCATCTTTCTTTGATAATCAGAAGAAAATAAAATCTCTTCACATCCCAATTTTATAAGAAATATTCAATATAAACAATTAATTATTTGTACGCATAGCCTAGTAAATCAGTTTAAAAAATTAGTTCTCGGACATGTACAAAATTACTTTTCAATAGGGACTTCTAGCTGAGACACAGTCTGATTAAAATCAAGCCTTCACTAGCTCCTTTTTATTTTGTTTGTCGCGTGAAGGTCCTAATTCACGCGACAAACAAAATAAAAAGGAGCTAGTGAAGGTTTGATTTTAATCAGACTGAGCTGAGACGTCGCCCGTGAAAAAAATACATTTTATATAAAAATATATGATTATTTAACATGTAGTGCACTCTGAAAAGTAATTAAACAGAAAAAGAGAAATTATTTATTTTTAATCGTTTTATTTGCGCTTTTATGCAAAGAATTTACAAACTTCTTTGGAAAACTTGCAACTATTTAATTGTGACGCAATATTAGTCAGGTGTATGACGTCACTGATACATCAATGGAAACGCGTATTCAACCTGAATAATACTGCCAATCTTACGTTTAAAGGCGAAAATGAATTCTATTTTGAAAATAAAGTAGTAATTTTTTGTTAAATAATTTTATTTTGTGTATATATTTTAAATATTTCACTAGGATTTCGATAGTAAGGTGTTTAGCAGATTTACCGATGCCACGGGAGATAACTCTTACATCGCAAAATTTCATAAAAACGTCTCTATATTTTGACAGAAAACTACTATCAAAAGTGTTTTGCCCACCAATTTTATTTTTGAAACTGAAAGACAAAATATTTCTGGATTCAGTTCAGCGTGAATTATAGTCCTGTTAAATAAGTATTGGAAATTACAGTTCTTTGTTTCTGACCTAAATTCAATGGTTTATATAGGGGAATTCAAGAACACGAAACAAAAGGATATTTTACTAAATAAGCAATTTTAAAACAAATCTTCGATTACATTATTCCATTTGGACTACATTGATATTGTTTTCAATAAAATTTCAAATATTCGTCACATTCGATGTGCCGCCTATTAATACAACCCTGCCTGGTTTTTCTTAAAGAGTACAAATAAAGCACAAATTAAAGTATTCAATGAGAGTAATTTTAACCGTATATCTAGGATCGGCTACATTTCGGCTGCCTTATTCTATTGGACTAAGTTAAAACGATTGATAATTTTTTTTTTACACATACAGTACAGGCAACGCGGATCCCGTATTAGACCGCGTCCCCTCCGCGGTGTTTTAATCCTTTCCGCGTTACACCGTCGCGGGTTTTGATCGCGGTGCTACCTGAGACCGTGTTTACACCGCGGCGGGGCCCGCTACCGTTATTCTTCAGCTTAGATGTTCTTACCTGTAAAGTATTGTCGATTTTTAATCGTGTCGAAATGAGGGGGGGGGGGGGGGGGGGGGGATTACGACCACATTAATATTAATAGATTTATACCATTACATGGATTC